GCTGCACTCATGTGGGTAATGGGAGGCTTCAGGTAATTAAGCCAAAGGCATAGTTAGATAAAGCCATTTGAGATTTTAATATGTCTTGCAATGGTTTTTGGTTCATTTCTGTTTATCTCTGCAATTCTATTAATATTTTTCGAAACCGTTGCAGAGGATTAACAGGTATGAACTTGAATATGTCAAAGAACTTGGCTGTGGAACTTATGGAACTGTTTATTATGGGAAATGGAAGGGCTCTGATGTTGCCATTAAAAGGCTAAAGCCCAGCTGCTTCGCTGATGGTACAATGGAGGACCGATTGGTAAGTACATCGTAGTATACGGTCCAATGGGAAGGGTCCCACCATAATGGTGTCATGTAGTCAAATTTTACCTTGCATTTTTTAGTCGGGTCTCTTGTAAACATCCTCTCTACTACCTAGTAGGGGTAACACCCCCAGACCCTACACTTTGTGGGATTCTTGTAGCATGGTATTTGTGATAGTGAGAAGGAAAAAACAAAGTTTTGAAGGGGAAGCTTTCTTCCTATGTTTATTAGGGACACAGTAACTTTATCAAGAATGTGATTTTGTTGGTTGTACCCATAGGTTGCAGACTTTTGGAAGGAAGCTCAAATATTAGGTAGCCTTCATCATCCAAACATAGTGGCATTGTACGGCGTAGTTACGGATGGTCTCAAGAACAATTTGGAAACGGTGACCGAGTACATGGTCAATGGCTCTCTTAAACAAGTTCTGCGAAAGAGAGATGGGTAAATATATATCTTTTATTCTCATTATATATATATGCTTCTACGTTCCCACTTCCGATGCGTCTAATTGAAAAGGGAAAAAAACCCTCAAAGATTGCGTACAATTTGAACTTTCAAACCCCAATGAAGTTTGGGATCATACTGGGTTTTGGATGTTGATATGTTAAGGATTAGGGTGGTGATTATGATGTGCAGAACCATTGATTATCGGAAACGGTTGCTAATAGCACTGGATGCAGCATTTGGTTTGGAATATTTGCACCAAAAGAACGTTATCCACTTTGATTTGAAATCACACAACTTCCTTGTCAATATGAGGGATCCCCAACGCCCGATATGCAAGGTAATTAAATCCAACTCCTTAAAGGTAGATATCAATATATTCTCTCGTTAACCATCCCAACCGTCATCACCTGAACCCCAACTACTTGAGGTCAATGTCATCCTAAATTGTCTGTCATGTCACACAATGCTTGTTCTCTTGTTATAAATATAGATTGGTGATCTAGGACTGTCAAAGATTAGACAAAGGACACTTGTTTCAGGAGGAGTACGAGGGACATTGCCGTGGATGGCTCCTGAGCTTCTAAATGGCGAAAGCATGGTGTCAGAGAAGGTTTTGTTACTTACCTCTTCTTCTTCTCAATAATCTCATCTACCATTTCGCTCATATCGAACTTGTGAAAGACTCCAGTTGCACTTGAGGAGATTGTCATTCCTCTCATTGTCACTTAGTTTTGGGATGGAATCCCTCTGTTTTATACTCCCTTTCACAAGGAAAGATCTTAAGAAATGTCCTTTTCTTTGGTCCGGGAAAGGTCTTCTCGTTACTTTTTTTTAAAATACCACAACTACCCTCACTTTATTTTTTACACCTCACCCAATATTCCACCCCACTTTATTAAAGGTAATTTGGTAAACTATATATTTTTTTCAATTCTCCTTAAAAATCGTGAAAAGTCAACTTGGAAAGTTCTTTCCCGGACGAAGGGAGTAGTGGAGTACATGAAACAATATGCATAATTAGATGTTGATTCTTTGTGTGTTCAGGTTGATGTCTACTCCTTTGGGATTGTCATGTGGGAGCTCTTGACCGGAGCCGAACCGTATTCGAACATGCGTGCAGAGGAAGTCATATGTATGTCTTCTTACTGGTATTGTTATAGGCTACTATATGTTGTTAGAAAACAGTTGCTAGTTAGCGATTAGTTGTTTGTGTTAGCTGGTTTGTACATGTTTTTCATGTAGGTGGCATTATGAAAGGGAGTTTACGACCTGAAATCCCGAACTGGTGTCATCCGGGGTGGAGATATCTTATGGAGAAGTGTTGGGCTTCGGATCCAAGGGAAAGGCCCGCTTTCTCGGACATTGCTAGGGAGCTAAGAGCCATGGCTTCCTCCATGAACATCATCTGAAGCTAACTTTTTTATGCTTTAGAATATACATTATGTGTGTATGATTGTCACTTGTAGTGTCAACCTTGGGGTTAAAGTAACATTGTCTTATAGTGAATGCCAAGTGTAATTGAGAATAAGAATTATGCAAATATTGTTCATAGGAATACTATGTGAAGATTTTGTTTTTGTTGAAGTCTCACATAGAATATATTGTCACGTTGTATGTAAAAAAAAAGGATGAGCTCCATCCCCGATGGCCCCCTCAGACCCGGTCGGACGGTCAGTGAGACCGGCCGAACGGTCAGTGTGAGGTCACATTGTATGTAAGCAGATGATGCTAGTGTTCTGAATAAATGAATAATGTGTTTTACCTTCTTTGATTTCCCTAATTTTGATTCTCATTTTCTTTTCTTTTCTTTTTCTGCATTTTTTTAGTCATAATTTGCCCATCCTTATATGACAAGAATTCCTTCATAAACGTCGCATTGGACGATGCATGTTGAGATGTGAATTTTAAGGATAGAAGTCCTATGTATTCGTCTAATTTGACTTTTTCGAATAAAATTGGGTAGCCTTTGGACTTCAATCAAATAAAAAATGTAATGTACTCCCTTTGTCATTCATTTTTCCTTTTTGCATAGAAGTCCTCTTCAATTCATTTTTCCTTTTTGGAAAGTTTTTTTGTGGCTCACTTTTTTCTCTCTTCTCTGCATCACTTTCAACCATATAATTTTACTTTTCCCATGCACAGTCAAATTAGGATGATTAATTTGAGGCGGGTGGGGTATACTAGAATAAGAATAATTTTATTAAATTTATCTTGTTGAGAATATTTAAAATTGTATTTAATTGTATTAAGATGTAATACGAATAGTTGAATTTAAAATTTGTCTAATTTGAATCGAAAAAATTAAACTGAACGAATAAAGGATGATTTAATATTTGATGTACCCTAAGACATTCTCATTTGCGTCATTTAACCGATGGTGGACTATTTAGGTTTGTATTTTTATTATTTTACGTATAGTTAAATTATCGTGTTATTTTTTCTAATTATACATAGTCCGAAATCATCAATGTATAACTTTATATGGTCGTGAAGTTTACCTAATGAATGTTACCATGAAAATCTTGATAGATTTTATGTCTCTCTGCATTTTCAAATAAAAATTCATTCCATGGTCATGCTAACTTTTGTTCAGTTATGTATTTTTATTAATAATTTTATGAGATACCATACTATCAACTCTTGTTTTGTGGAACTCTATGCATATTTCCTTTTTATTTTCTACCAATTTTTAAATAAAATGAATTAAAAGATACTTGAATTTACATCGTAATTCTCTCTATATTTTTTATTTGTGGACGATATTCCTCCCTTTATTAGAGATATTAGAAATTATGAATGTGGCCCTTCTCGCTCAGTACAAACGATATTTCCTTTTAGATCTTGTCGTCACCAGAAACTCATCATACAAGAATCTACTCTTACACACCTAAAACCTACACTCCTCATGTTAGGACTTAGGGACTATTTGTTTTCCTTTGAAATTTCATTCACTTATATATATATATATATATATATATATATATATATATATATATATATTGTTTGTTTGTTTGTTTTATTAATAGAAAATTAACAAAAATTGTTTTTTAAAGTAGCTATTATGATATTTAATTATAATTACATAACTTTCTTACGTATATTATTAGAATATTAATTATAATTTATTTTGTTAAAGCCAAGACCCTTTTTTCTTGTCTCGTCTAGGACGGCCGAATCCTCGGGGGGCTTGACAAAATTTATATTTTTTGGTTTAAAATGTTCGATTGATTGATTTTTAATTTGATTTATTTAAGTAGTTGTCTAAAATGTACAATAATATTTATATCTTCAAAATCAAATTAAAAGTTTTATGAATTAAGATATAACATGATATTCTATTTTAATAAATAATCAATAAAAATATGTAAACAAAAAAGATATATTTAACTATGTAAAAATATTTTAATTCAAAATAAGTTTGGGAAATATTTTATAATTTGAAGGAGTAATACTCTTGTTTTAATTTTAAAATGAGGTTTCTTTTGGAGAAGAGAAACAAAGTTAGATTCCCTCTTTCGTGTTTTTGAGTGTTATTGACTGTATTACAAAATAATATTTGTTTATAATATTCTCACACACAAATAGTCAATGGTTCCATGACTCTTAGGACTCGAACTTGGTTAAACTTCCTCATGAATACATGGGAGAATTTCGGATCTTGTGTTTCATACACACACAAAAAATACTCCCTCCGTCCCTGAGTAATTATTTACTTTTAACTTTTTTGGTCAAAATTGGTAAATTTTGACTCCAAATTAAACAAAAATGATATTAGATATTAATATATAAATAGTTTTATTAGATCAAATTAAACAATATATATTTAATTTTGTTATATGTCAAAGTTTGTAAATAATTGATCAAAAAAAGTTAAAATTGGATAAATACTCAGAAACACGGTGGTAATATTAATTTTCTATTAATTATTTGGATGATAATTATCTACTCCCTTCGTCCCTGAGTGTTTGTCCACTTTCATTTTTGCACACCATCCAATGCACTTCTTTAATCCATTTTATCTTGTAATTTGTATATTAAAAAATTATAAAAATTATATATTAATAATCTATATGTTAAGACGAATCAAACAAGATCACACATGACTATTTAAAATAAACAGTTCTAAAAGTCAAAAGTGGACAAACACTCAGGGACGGACCAAGTAAAAAAGTATAAATTTTATTTCCACGCGGAGGAAAAAAGGAAAGTGTTGATATACATAAACATATCCGTGGAACACGCATTTTGCTGCTTCTGTTCAGCTACCTTCTTCTCTCACCGTCGGAACCCTAGGTTTCAGATTTCTCCGCTCCGGCTGCTGTCGGTTCCTTCTCCGGTCTTCCTCTGCCGTCTGATTGGCCGAGCTTGTGCCTCTATTTTTGGTAATTCCTGCGATTAGAAACGTTTGAAGCTAGGCTTTTCGATTTGCTGGCTACTCTACTTCTCAGCCGGTGAACTTTGATTTGATTCCGCTTTCGGTAGCTAATCGTTTGGTATTTTCTGGAGATGTACGTATTTTGAGTATTTAGGTGATTCAGATCGAGTTCTTTTAGTTGTTGGTAGTTTGGGATTTGTGGGGTTGAATTGTACGGAGTTTGGGTGTTGGATCTGCGAGATTCTGGAGGTGCAACTTAGGTCTGATTTGAATCTTGTTTGTATAGTTAGGATAAAAGAGTGTTTTTAAAAGCTTCGTGTTTGGTTGTCTGTTTTTGAATTGATGTTCTTGATTTGAGCTCAGTGTTTGGATTAGTGTATCTGAATCTAAGTTTTTTATATTATTTAGCTCTATATTTAGATTTTTTGTGTTTGAATTTGCAGTATTTTTAGCTCCATTTTTGGGTTCTTGAATTTAAACTGAATTTCAATTTTAGACCTGACAATGGAGTAAGTCCGTAATAATTTGAGCTTCATGATTGGATTCTATGTGTTCGAATTTACTCCCTCTGTACCTAAATATGTACCTAAATATTTGTCACATTTGCTTTTTCAGCAGACGCGGGAACTTTTGTTTATTTCTACGTTTTCATTGGTTATTTGATAAAATAAAATGTTCTTCACACCTCTTATTTTGAAGAACTTTTTACGTATTTTTTTGATATGTAAATTTTATTTTTAATTTCTATACTAATATGTAAATAAAATCAATTGAAAAAACTTGATATTTTACCTAGATAATAGAAGTTTGACAAATATTTAGGGACAGAGGGAGACATGGAGTATAATTTTAGATCCATATTTGGATTTCTGAATTTGAATTGAAGTTCCTTATTACACCAACTGCTGGATTTCAGATTCAGTTATATGTTCTCTGCCCTCTCTCTCTGTCAATTTGATCTCTTCTTTTTTTTTGTTTCACAAAATGTTGAAATATTTATCTTTTGAGTGGTGCTTGGATTGTTTAAACCTTGTGAATTTACTCTGCAGGGGATGATTACCAAGTTAAACATGCATTTTCATCTCCTGAGTTATTCACTCTATATTTTTTTCTGGTGCAGTTTGTATATACTAATCGTAATATGCCCAAGCAGAGAAGAGACCGATCTCTATCTTCTGATAGGACGAGGACATTTCCATACCCAAGTAGTTCAAGCCGCTCAAGGCATTCCCTTCAATTAGATCATCTGGAAAACAATGAAAATTTAAAAGAATGGGAAGAAGCAAGATGCCCGGTTTGCATGGAGCATCCACACAATGCCATTCTCCTTTTGTGTGCATCCCATGACAAAGGCTGCCGACCTTACATGTGCGACACAAGCTACCGCCACTCCAATTGTTTTGATCAGTTCAAGAAATCATTCGACATAAACCCACCAGCTTCTATTCATCAAGATGACATTACCGTGGCTGCCCCTGTGATATCATCAGGTCAGGGTGCAAGTGCGGGTTCAACAGTTGCACCTGACGTGGCTTGTGAGAGTCACGAAAAGAACAATATGTTATGCCCCCTTTGTAGAGGGAGGGTCAATGGGTGGCTTGTTAACGAGCCTGCCCGTAATTTCATGAATGCAAAAGCAAGAAGCTGTTCTTGTGAGACATGTGACTTCAATGGTACATATGCAGACTTGAGGAAGCATGCGAGGTTAATCCACCCTTTGGTACGGCCCACAGAGGCGGACCCTGAAAGGCAGCGTAACTGGAGTATGTTGGAACGGCAGAGAGATTTTGGAGATTTGCTAAGCACACTGAATTCTTCCCTTGGGGACGACGAGAGCGAAGGGAGCGGCACCTTGACCATTGATGATGGAGGATTGCTAACTGTTTTTCTTTTTGTTAGAATCCTTCAACCGAGGACCCGTTCTAGGAGCAGCAGCAGCAGGTATCCCTCATCCAGGTCCAGAAGTCAAAACACTTTTAGGAGGCGGCCTTCGAGGAGACTTTGGGGTGAGACCTTTGATGGTGAAATGGAGTCCAGAGATGATGATAATGAAGAATCTGATGCTGGGACTGCTACAAGGAGGCATCAACCAACACCAGAAACTTAGTGGTGTGTGCGGACACGGGGTTTTCTGCCTGGTTTCATTGAACACTCAAGCTGCAGGTATGCACTGGTTCCTGTTTATCTATATTCCACCAAGTTTGTTCCTTTTTATCAGTCCTCTTAATGAAATCCATGAGCATTACATACATTTGTTCTTTCAAAATTTACCCTTCTCATCCTCTTTCGAAATGATGAGAAGTAATTTATCCCCCTTCGTTTTATACGGAGTATTAGTTTTCCCACTTTGACTTCACGGAGATAATGATAAGTGTTAAATAGTGAAAAGTGAGTTAGAATTTGTTTAGAAGAAAGAGAATTATTTTGGACCTCATATGATTCATATCCTTTTCCGAAAAGGAAAAGATAAAAGTGAGAAAATTATTTTGTGACAAATGAAAAAGGAAAGTGAATGAATGTTTGTGGGACAGAGAGTGTACAAGTAAATGATGTCATTTTCAAGGATGCTAGGGGTACACCAAAAGTGTACCCCAAATGTACACCACCCCCTCCATTATCACTCATTTTTATTTATTTATTTCTTTTTTATTTTAAATTCCAAAATATGTGGTAATGGAGGCGGTGGTGTACATTTGGGGTACACTTTTAGTTGTACCCCTAGCATTTTTGTGTCATTTTACGTAAAATATAGAAACTTCAGATTTATTTGCCACTCAACTGCATTTTCTTACCCTGTGATTTGGTTAATGAAGAGAGGTAGGAACGTATACATTTTTCTTTTTACTTTTTTAGTAGACATTACATTTGCATTGCTTGGAAACAGTATACTATCCCTCACCGCCATTTTTGTGATCTGTTTGAATTTTGGAACTCTGTTAATTGCAAGGCAGGGAAATAGGGATGAAATAGAGTTCCCCACCCACCATTTTTGGGATCTGGTGGAATTCAGAAAATGGTAAGAAAATAGGGATGTGAACATGGGGAAAGTAGTAGGTCAGATGTAGGGGAAACACTTAAAAATATTGGTTCATACCCAATAAATCAAGTTCAAATATTTTTTAGGTAATATTGGTTCATACCCAATTAAAACATTCAATCAAATTTTTCTTTCTTTGTATATTCTAAAGGGAAACCAAACATAAAAACTATTTTCCTTGCCATTTCCCCACTTTAAAAAATAGAATTGGTGAATGGTGGTGAGCATGAACTTCTTTGTTTTTTCGCCGTGCAGAACGGATAGAATCTGGGGAAACCCTTGAGTTGGATTTGCACTCCAGTAGTAGTCCTGCTGAGACCTGATAGTAGGACGTCTGGTACCTGGAATTGCAAACTACAATTCGAGAGAATGGGAAAGATATTTGTATTTTGTACATTGTTCCCCTTTGCAACCCTCAGTTCGATTTGGCACTGTTCATGTTTGAATTCTATGTTTGAATGGATGAATACGAAAGCAAGATCTTGTTTGCTTCCTAAAAAAATTGAGTATATAACTAACTGTGTGTACCTTTTATGGTTATCATTTGGTGTAAGAACAATTGGCTTGATTTGGCCCTGCCTCTTATTGCCTTCCAAAGTGCTGTTTGGTTTAGCTGTTTTATTTTGAGTCTTGTTCAAAATGGTCTGAATGTTTTACCTTCCCAAAATCTTCTAAACCTTCTTAATTCTGGCATCATTAGGGCCGGCTTTTTCGCCTTAATTTTGATTGGAGTATGGAGACTGGAGTCAATATACTGGCACTGATTTTAATCAAAGTCTGGAGTCAAGATGCCCTAAATTTAATCAAAGAGTCTGAGAGTGGGAGATTGGAGTCTGAAGTTTGGATATGAAGGTTGAAAAGAACATGCCCCCTATTTCACTTATTTATGTAGCAAGACTTGTACTTTGTTTTTATTTTTTTGGCTAAATTAATCATATTGCAAGTGTTTGGAGATCTTTGACAGTTGAATTAAGCTATGTGCACTCCAAAAATTGTATCCCACATTGTATCCCAAAAACATTCATCAATATTTTGTGATAGTATGATGTTAGTCTGATGGTTACACTCACAGAAAAGATCAGTGCAAATTTTTTTATTGAATTAATATTTTGCACTAGTGTGAACCGTTCAAATTTTGGTGTATCTTTTTGGAGTACAATTTGGGATATATTTTTGGTGTACTCTAAGCATGGTTGTTGACAATTACATTGAAAAAATAGTTTATTTTATGCAACGGATGGAAGAGCACTTGTTTGAACAAAAGTCTATTTTTAGGTCATTACACCTTGGTTCCTTTGATATCCATATGTGATGTCATATTATAATTTATAACACTATTTCAATGTGAAAATGTTTTTGAATAAGATTGGTTTATTAATTTTATATCTTTTTATTTAAATTAAATTAAAAATAATTCTGATCACATATCGTAATTCAAAAATTAGAATGTTATTATGAGATAAAAGAAGTATATAAAATAGTTTAAGGCACCATCCACCCGAGGGTCAAATTGTGATATTAGGTCATTTTGAGGTACGTAGAATGTTCTATTCATTCTCAAAGTGGGAAGTGGTTCTTATCTTCACGTCTGGGCACAACACCAATCCCAGTCTCCCTCTATTCGGAAATAATTTTTCTTTTAATATTTATTTATATGGTCACATTGTATTCACTTTGTTAACTTTTACTCCGTATTACTTATTTTATAACACTTGGTATAATATTTTTGTATAATCACGTCAATTCATATTTTGTAGATTTTCTTATGTTTTTTATTATAAACTTCGTACGAATTTTATTTTTAATTTTAAACTTATAATTAAATAAATTAGATCAGAAACTAATTTAGTTAAATATTGTAAACTGAAATAAGAAAATTATTTACAATTCTAAAAAGGTACTCCAATACTCCATATTATTTTTCCATCTTACATAAAAAATTTGAATGAGAAAATACTGAAAAGTTCCGACTTAGACGAACTTCCACCTATTCTTCTATCAGAAAATTGCTGTCAGGTACTCTCGGTTTTGTGATAAGAATTCACAGGTCCCATCTTTTTTAAAAATATACTCCAGGGTACCTTTAATTATCTGAAAACTAACTCCGGGGAGACTTTCCGTCCATCCCTCCGTCAAATTCACTATCTCCGTTAACTTTTCATCTTCTTCTGATCCCAAAAATTGCTGTCAGGTACCCTCAATTTTGTAGAAATAACTTTCAGGTCCCATCATTTCTAAAAATATACTCCGGGTACTCTAAAATATCCAAAAACTTGCTTTGGAAGAATTTTCCTTTTTATTATTATTGTTATTATTACTATTATTATTGTGTGACTATTACTACTACTACTATTATTATTATTGTGATTATTATTATTATTATTATTATTATTATTATTACTATTACTAGTGTTACTATTATTACATAGTATCATTATTATTAGTCACTTCATCATTATCTTCCGCAGCTGTAACTCGCTGCCGTGTTGCCTATTGAGTTGCATTGGATTTTCGCTACCCGCACTAGAATAATAATAATAAATATAATAATAATAATCGTGACAGTAATAGTAATAGTAATGATAATCGCAATAATAATAATAATAAAATGAAAAAAAGGAAAACCCCCCATAGTAACTTTTTGGATATTTTAGGGTACCCCGGAATATATTTTTAAAAATGATGGGACCTGAAAGTTACTTTTATAAAATTGGGGGTACATAACAGCAATTTTTAGAAAGAAAATGATGAAAAGTTAACGGAGAAAAATGAATTTGACGGAAGGATGGACGGAAAGTCTCCCCGGGGTTAGTTTTCGGATAATTAAAGGTACCCTGGAGTATATTTTTCAAAAAGATGGGACCTGTGAGTTCTAATCACAAACCGAGGGTACTCGATAGCAATTTTCTGGTTCTTCTATGGTGAAACTACACGGCTCCCTTAGAAGTGAGTCTAAAAATTGAGGCTTGAAAAATGCTAGAGTCACCAATACAAGGGTTAAAAATACATAGACTTGCTATTTAGTTATCTACTAAATTTTTACTTTTTAATTATTTAAAAGCGTTTTATTTTCTTTGTGAGGTGCACAAATTGTAAATTTGTATTTTTTGTAACTCTTTTATTTGTGACCATAGTATTTCACATTTTGAGAGTATGGATTATAATAGGTGTTCAAAACAGAAAACTTGTCCCACCCTTAAGTCCTTAACTACTTAAGCATGGGATGTTATTGTCACCGTATTCTCACCGTATATTATACTCTCCCCGTCCCAAAATAAATATTAAAATTTATTATTCAAAAGTTACAAAACAAATTATTTATTTACATATTTTTATTGATTTTTTAGTAATTTATAATATTCTAATTACATCCTGTTTTATAGAATTTTTGACGTTTTTACATATGTAAGTTTATTTTCTATTTCTGTACCATTCTTTAAATAAAACGAATTGAAATATTTGAAATTTATGTTTTTGCATAATGTGTTGTTCTTTTTGGGACAAAGAGAGTACAATTCGTGAATAAATTGAAATATTTGAAATTTTTATTTTTGCATAATGTGATGTTCTTTTTGGGAAGGAGTAAAATATGTTATTTTTTAGATCATTCATTTGTTCCAAAATTATGTTGTTAGGCCAAATAGCTTTAGAACCCTCTTGTGGTTTGAAAAATAAGTAATAATGTCTCTCTGTTTTCAAAACTTATTTCTAAAATTCTTATGCTTTTTTTGATCACTTTTTTGGTGAAATGTAGACATTGGTGCCTATTTTTTTAATTTATGGAGTATCAGAGAGCCTTCCTTTATTTTTTATTTTCTTCTTTAAAATTATTCTTTACAATGTTTTAGAATTTCAAAATTACTTGGGTTTGAAAAAATTAAAAGAAATAAAAATAAATTATCATATACGTCATCTGTCTCAAGTTAAAAAATTTATATATTTTTGTTTTCCAAAATGAAAAGAAAATAAGAAATTGAAAAGGATAACAAAACAAAAGAGAAACATATGGAAAATGGAACCGAGAAAAGAAAGGGTACAAAAAACAGTTTTATCCTTTAGTAAAGAACGTCATTAAGGAGGCTGATAAGGCTCTTCTGGAGGGCGTCCAAAAATTTAAAATTTATTGGATGGCATTCTTTGAGGGAGTCACAAAAGAATAAAGATATTCTTTTCGATCGATGCCCGAGATATTCAAAAAAAACTAAAAACTCTCTTTTTATTTAAAAAAAATATTTTTGAGACATACAACAACAACAACCTAGTTAGATCCCACTATTTTTGAGACATCTAAAAAAATAATATTTTTTACGTCCTCAAAATAATCTTATTAGCCCATTACACATCTGCATTTTATTACGGAGTATATAATTTTATAATCGGGAACATTTCCATGACATTGAGTTTTAATATGATGGGATGACCCGGACTTCAATTGAGACCCCTACGGAAATTCGTTCAAAAAATTGACAGTCATATCCCGCCTAACATTTCCGGTAAACCTCCCCATCCCGACTCGACTCCTCCGCCTCTTCAATTACACTCCCCACTTGTTTTTGACTCCAAACTCCAAAGTCAATTGAAATTAGAGAGTACAATTAATGGGGGTAGAGGGCAGGTCAGACCATTAATGGGTGAGGAGTTTACCCGGGGGATTAGACGGAGTAGAAACTATTAATTTTTCGAACTCTTTCGATTTATAATGTGCACCCTCTAAGTATGTGTAAATGTGTGAAATATACTTCATAGTTTTAAAAACCGAACCGGATGCGGAACCAGGTTTCAAATTCTTTTGAGAAGGTTTTCAAAAACACACCTCTTGGATTCGAACACACGACCACACGGCTGAAAGAAGCCTTCACAAACCATCTCCGCCACAATGGCTTGTGTGTACTCTATGCTATTTTCCTTAAATATTCTTTAATAAAAAATATTCTCTATCAAAACTTTTAAAATATACTATATAGTTTTTTAACTAAAAATCAAATCACTTTTTATTTTTTAATTTTTTAAATAAGTAAATTTTATTTTTTATTTAATGACACAACGCAAGTAAATTAAATTAAATTATAAATCTAGTCAAACATCAATTCTTTATTTATAAATAGGGGAACTATATTATTTTATTTACTCATATACTCTGTATTAGTTTTTTTAAAGTCAATGAAAAGTGTGTGTATGTCTATATATATATATATATATATATATATATATATATATATATATATATATATATATATATATATATATATATATATTAAAAATGTTTGAACCACTGGTTCAACCATTTGAACCACTGGTTCGACCAGTAAACCACTGAACCAGTGCCTTGACCGGTTCGATGACCGGTTCGGTTCTGAAAACTATGATATACTCTGTATATTCTCTAGCTTGTACTCTGTAAACAATTAAATAAATAAATGTACCATATGTACAATAAATGTCATATATTTCCTTTATCCCAAAAAGAATGTCATATTTCGTCATTCAAAAATGATGCAAGCTTTTGTTTATTTGTGTGCTTTCATTGATTTTTTGATAAATTTCATCTTTTTTTGTAAACTTTTAACGTAATTTTTAAATATGTAAATTTTGTTTTTTATTTATCTACATGTCTTTAAATAAAATAAATTTAAAAAAATTGAAAATTTTAGTTTGTCTTGCATAATGTAACAATATTTTTGGTTTTTTTTTTTTGCTACCAAATGGCCATAGTAATAAGTGTAATATACGGAGTAAAAACTCACCAAAAAATAAAAAAGATGTCTCTTGGGTACATCATTGACAAATTATTCTCAAGATTGCCATCATTATACACAAAGAGCCTTCATATAATCTTCAAAATTTTCTCTTCTTTTTTCCCCCTTTTTTCTTTCAAAAGTGTTCTTTGTTCTTCATAAACAGAGATAAATAACAACAAATCACACATTTAAACAATAATCGAATCATCTTCTGCCCAATTTTTCTTTTCCGATCGAAACTCCATTTACAGGTTAGTTATCTTTTGACTCTCTACTACTAGAATCTTGATTTCTTATTGTTAGATTTATGCAGAAAAAATATATTGTTTTCAATTTTCTGTAATTGAGCTTGTATTTGCTATTCTTTAAAAGATTTTAAAAAGATTTTAAAAGACTACTTCATGATTACATAATAATCATTAGTTATTTCAGAAATTCAATATTTTTGTACTCCAAGGGAATTTTTAGTTTACTGATCCCCAATTTTTGAATCATATCTGTGATCAAAAAGCAATCTATTGTTATTATTATAAAAATATCAAATTTCTCGGAATAGTTAAAATTATGTAATCTTGGAGTATTATTGGGAATATTGGCATGAATTTTTTCTTTTCTTTTTATAAATTAACATTCTTGTCCTTTTTTGTGATTATTTTCTGTTTTTATTAAACAACAAAAAGAATTTATAATATTGTGGCATTTGACTTCATATATTCATGTATCTTCTTTTACTAAAATGTAAGCAATTCCAGATTCAAATACATACATACAGAGTATATGGTGTATCTGTTTCTTGCAGGTTTTGAAGTTGAGATCATGAAAAGATGCTTTATTTTTCCTGAATTGATCATTAAATAGAAAATTACATGATTTTTTCAAACTAGATCTACCACATATATCTCATGATTTTCCCATTGTTTCTCATCAATGAACAGATTCCGTTGTCTGCGTTGTGTGAGGATGCGATACAAGAAGGGGAATTTGGTTGAAGTGTTGGATGAAAGCAAACCGCCCTTTGGCTCTCGGCGTTGTGCAGAGGTTGTTGGTAAAACCGGAGACGACTATGTCGTCCGGTACAACGCTCAGGACACATCAGGGGTATTTTTGGAAATGGTGCCGAAGAAGTCAATCCGGCCTTGCCCCCCACTTGTGGAGCTTTCGGGAAGATGGGCACCCGGGGACGTGGTTGAGGTGTTTCTCAACTGCACATGGAGAATGGCAATAGTGTCTAAGGTGATGAAGAAGAAGCACATTTTGGTGCGGTTGGTCGGGTCTTCAAACGAGTTCAAAGTCGAGAATTGTAACGTTCGCGTGAGGCAATTGTGGAAGGACGGCCGGTGGGCCATAGTCGGAAAGGTATAGTAGCCGAGTTCCATTAGACGTTCTTCACATTGCATCATTCGACCCCATCCCACGGAGGGTGAGATGACGTAGACCTTATCTCTGCTTTAAAAGGCAAAGCGGTCTTGTAAGAATGAACGTGGACGTAACGTATGTCCATATTCATTCAAAATCTTATGTATCTAAAAAGTCATAACATAGACCTGGATGGAGTAATTGTTTTCTCTAAATTATTGAATTATTGATTTGTCTTTACATGTTCATTTCTTGCAGGATCCAACTAAGAATTTGACTAACACTTCACGTGTTCGATCTATCATAACGAAATCAAGAGCGAATCCTCGCGGAAAACATGAGCGCAAACTTCATAACATCAACGTCCCGTGCATCGGCTTTTCAAGAACTCGAAAGAGAGGGCTATGGACACATACGCATCCTCGGAGAGAAGACGACAACGGAGCCAAATCGGATAGTGCTAATGTGTGTAGCTCCGTCGGGAGTTGCAGCGGTGCCGCCACTAGCCCCAAGTTCTCAGTGGGGCCTGCGTGCGACACCGACGCGCGGGAAAGCGAGGGGGAGTCGGTCCGCGAAGAAATCCACCGGCTCGAATTGCGTGCATACCGCGCGACGATCGAGGCATTGTATGCTTCGGGTCCTTTGAGCTGGGAACAGGAAACGTTGATCACAAATCTTCGCGGGTACCTCAATATATCTAACGACGAGCACTCGTTGGAGTTGAGGAATTTGATATCAAATGCCTCATCAAGCTTTTCAAATGTCAGCTGAGACTGCATTTAACCTAAGTTGCACGGAGACGAGGACGGGAACGGGTAAATATCAAACGTTCCAAATTTTACAAAAAAAAGTGTCCGAACGTCCCCAAGTTAGGATTCTCTCTACCTTTTAGCAGGCGTAAGGTCTGCGTACACACACTCTCGAGACCCTACTATTATAAATTCAAGCTGAGACAAAAAATGTAAGAATCTTTTCTTTCTTTTTCTTGTAAAAAAAGCAAAATGACAGATGATTTAGGAAAGCTAGCTAGCTCTGCTCTACCTATATTCAGTTAGCTATGTAACAAATTTTCAAGCTTTGTAATGTTTTCTCTATCTCTAGTATTTTGAAACAAGTTTCATTTATTTATTACTCCCTTGTCTCTAAGTATTTTCGGTTGAAATATCAAACAAAATTATTGTTGCTGATTCTCTAATGCAAATCATACAATTCTAAACGTAATGACGTGAACTTTTTCTTTTACATAACGTGAATTGAACACTTTGTTTTGGAACACATGATTGGGTTTTTTGAGAAGTATAAATTGTGGAAGTGAAAGAGTACATGAATGTGGTTAGATTTGAACAATTCTTAGTCATTGTCTTGTTGGCATGTCTTTCTGTCATACAAAGACAGTGTCATGTGATCTTCAATCCTCTTTCATGAGATCATATTGAGTGTGTCAAATAATATGCCATTGTCAAGGGTTAAATGGGTAACTAGAATTCTTTTTTTTGCTCTTTTTTTAGGGAGTAACTAGAAAGTTTAATGGAAGAAAAATTTCTGACATTAATGTAAAAATCACAAACATTTTAATAACCAATTTTTGGAAATATTTTTTTTGAACGGATGGAGTAACATAGGCAAGACTTATAACCTACGGAATAGTAAATTAATATGACTGCTAAAGAATAGTTTTTAAAAATTTAAACGTAACCTGTAATTGCGGGAGAAAATTTTGAGAATGATTTACCTATTACCAATGGCTGACGATTATTTTGATTGTTGTTTGGTTGTTCTAAAACTCGCCCCTATCCCTCTGCCACTTACTCTTCATTATTCGTTCAATCTCTAGAATATGTCTAAAATGTAGACAGTGTCAAAAACAATAACTTTTACTATAGAGTATGTCACTCCAATATATTGTTACTTTCTAACTAGACTATTTTTTATTGGTTAAATTATACCACGTCAGCGTGTGACATTCTAATATATGACTTGCCATTGTTTATGGCCTTAGACATGATTATATACACACCCGCACTTTAGCAATTTTAAAACTAGATTAGAAAGTTTGCCTGCATATTTTATTAATCGAATTTGTAACCGTTGCAAATTTCATTATTAACTAGAGAACTTTTGCATTTTCATGAATATTTTTGGTGACTAAAACCTTTCAGTCTGATTCGGAAGAGTTTAGAAAAAAACAAATATCACAAAATTCAGAAATAAAAGAGAATTGAAATTGAACTTGCGACGAGGGACCAAGCAAGAGTTTGACATTGGTCCGATTCAAAATCAATGCTCACAATAACCAGAAGTAAACTATGACCCGTTTTCACCAACACATTTAAAAAGCAACTAGAATCCGCTGACACTCGTTTTAAGTGTCAACGGATGACTCGTTTTGATGTTGCGGTGTAACACGGCTATGTTTATACCTATCATAGATGAATTATGTCTATATCATATAAGCATGTCAATTTTGTCAAGGATGAGTTACAACTGCGCATAACGAACTTGGATTGTGTACAAGTGTCACCACCTTGGTGTACAAAACTACAAAGTAAAATTTGCATCAAATATGACTAAAACATAATGACTTTCCTAATGTAGAACTTAAACTTTTTTATTCCCTAAATAGGACTTAATAATGACCTAGTGGAAGGAATAATGTCCAACAATGATGCACATTTAATTGAATAATGACTTCGTGATAATGACCAAAGGTCCTACATTGAGAAATAAAAACATATGGTCTTATATTGGGAAAATCATTATGTTTTAGTCCTATTTAGGTAAATTTCTCAACTACAAATAGATTTGTCGATTATGGAAAATTTTTAATATGTTGTACATTTACACCAAACTGACACCAACCTAAAACTCAAGCTACTCCCACATGTAAACCTTGAAACCAAGGATAGAACCGGTCTTGACACTTCAAAACCAGTTTACTAGTCAAACCAGTGATTCAAATGGTCTAACTAGTAGATTAAACACAATTTAATAAGAGTATTATGTATATTCAATATTTATATAACATATAACATATACTCAAAAAGAAAAAAAATTATACTCCCTCCGTCCATGTATGATCTTCCCATCGACGTTATTTTCAATTCAATTTAATTGATTATAGGAGTAAAATTTTAAAATAAAATTTATATAGTAATAAACTACATGAAAAGTTCTACAAAACTAGAGGTGACAAGACTATATTATTTTATGAAATGACTAGTAAAATTGAGCAAACAAGGTGAGTAAAGTTTGACCCTGTGAATAGTGTCTGGGAAGATCTATGGTGGACGGGAGTATAAAATAGTTGAATAATCGAGTATTATTATAACATACAAGAAATAGAAATAGTTGCTTTCAAAAAAAGAACGAAATAAGACTCTTTGGCACAAACTTAAGGGAAAGCAACTACTTCTCTCGTTCCAAATTAAATTATCTATTTATAATTCACAAAATCAAAATATTTTATTCACTTTCTTTTTTATTTGATGGAATAATATACACATATCAACTTTTGATATGATTTTTAATATGTAAATTTTGTTTTTATAATTCCACTCTAATTTTTTAAATAAATTGTATCGAAGAAAATAACAAAAAATTTTAAATTAGATCAGAGAGAATAATTTACTTATGTCCAAATTTGAAGATCCTACACACTAAAAGTTAAATGGAGCCTATTACTCTAATTCAGCTTGTATTTGCCGGACTTCCATCTTAACTATAGATGGCAGCAGCGCCTGGTCGGCATCAAGTTTGATTCATAAGAAAAGGAAAGCATACCAGTTGCTGGTTCTAAGCAGTTTGGTGCATATTGCCACCGACCGGTTCACTGGTTTCCAGTACAAACTTTCTAAGCCCGGTCCGGTTTTCAAAAGTACGTGTAGAACACAAGGTTTGATGGAGTGAACAGTTGTAGAAAAGCCAAATAAACTATGGTGGGGCATTATTGATAATGTCATAGTCTGACATTGAAGCCAATTGAGACACCTTGCTAGTGACTACATGCCTATATATTTTCACAAGTTCTAGTTTGGAAGACCCAAGTCATTACCATTAGCAGAGTTACCAAAACAAACAAGGTACGTGTGAAGATAGAGAAGACGCAAGATTGTAGATTTGGCATATTGATCCATATAAATATCAATGATGCAGGCACATTAAGATGCAAATAACAAAACCCGCTCCCGAGGTAGAATCACACACAATTAATGTCTAGAAAATTCAAAATAGAAAAAACACATAACTCGTGCTAGTAGTATGTAGCACAAACGTTTAGGGGTGGGGGTGGGGGTGGGGGGGAGACGATCCAAACACGTAAATCGGCTCAAGAAAAAGTACCCCACGATCTAAGAGCCACAATGCTTGGGAACAACTAGAGATAGATGAGCAGCAGTGGTCATAGAATGGGGCAAGCCTTCCAAAAAAAATATCTAATCGAAAGCCTCGTCTTCATCTGGAAGTGGCATACTTGCTGCTTTTTTAAGCTCTTCTTCATGCCTGAAAATACAAAAATATGTGTTGATCAGTCTTTGTATCAAAGAAATTAACAGGAAATGCAGGTTCTCTTATATGCTCATAGCTATAATGGGAAGAACTATGATGAGTTTGGAATAGAGTATTCCTCGACTCTACTATTTCCTCAACCCCAACTCCCCCACCCACACCACACAACATTTCTCTATTCTTTCCCTTCCCTACAAAAGCCCTCTACCCAGACAAGGCCTGGCATCACATTGCCAATTTGGTCACCTATAAAAGTAGTGGTGGAAGGCCCATAATGCTGCAAAGGATCAAATTAGAAGATGATTGTCACTCCCACCACTACTTTCTACACATTTATCAAGATGTTCTGTGCATACCCTTTTTATCTTCCCCTTTCCTTCTAATGCCTGTTCCTATTTGTCATTTTTTGCTACCCTTTTGTGGAAAGAATAGTGTGGTCCGTATTATTCATTCCTAAATAAAACTCAACCACAAGCACATCTTCTAAAACTACATGCCAAGTGAAGAGTGCTTTTATCAGTATGCAATGCTTGATTAAGTTAAGATGGAGTATATAAAGCACTAATCAGAAGTACGATGGGACGCAGAATGATGGACTTACTGCAGCTGTGCAACCATGTCCACTTGTACTTCTGGAGGAGCAAGAGCAGGCGCAGACACAAACGTAATGGCTGCATCCCTATATATATAAACAGAAGAATATATGAACATCAATATGTACTTTAGGCTATTAAAGACAAGAAATTAAAACATAGAAATATTGGTTACCCAGCAAGCTTCCTGGTAAGGTACAAGAAAGGCTTCTCAAAATTGTAGTTGCTCTTCGCAGAGATCTCATAGTACTGCAGATTTTTCTTCCTGTGGAAAGTAACTTGCTTTGCTTTCACCTGCCTGTTCTTGACATCAACTTTATTTCCACAAAGAACAATGGGAATGTTCTCGCAAACCCTGTACAGAAGAAATGGATTATGTTCTGATACCCATAGCTAATTGAGTTGGTTGTTTATGACACTACAAAAGCATTTTTATAAGATGGCACTAAACTAAACCTGCAGAGATCACGGTGCCATGTAGGAACATTCTTGTAAGTCAGCCGTGCAGTAACATCGAACATAATAATTGCACATTGCCCATGAATACTGCAAAAATGGAAAGATGGAAGGAATGTTAAAGACCAAAAAACTTGCTCTTAAAAGTTCATACTTGTACTTTTTAAACTCTACTATACAACCAAAAAATCAGAATATGGCATCAAACCAAATGATAAAAATATAATTTCAAATAGCACTATATAGCTAACATTAAGAACTACATGAAATAAAGGTCAAGGAATGTCATTCTTCTAGGCATAAATTGATGAGTGAAATGTGAAACCAAGGTGTATTAAGAAGAATCTTTAAAGAATGCATTTAAAATATAAAACTTACTAGTAACCATCACGGAGTCCTCCAAACTTCTCTTGTCCAGCTGTGTCCCAGCAGTAGAAACGAATATTGCCATGGGATGTATGGAAGTCCAATGGATGAACCTCAACACCAATGGTAGCTGTTAATTTTTTACAAGGTTATAACTTCTTATCGTATTTGTAAGTGTAACTGAGATTTTAATATTTATCTTTTTATAAAAAATTCAAAACATGCTCCCTCTATCCCGAAATGAACTGCCCATTCGGGTTTACAAGACTAGGCCAAATTTATTTTGAATCCATTCGGGTTTACAAGACTAGGCCAAATTTATTTTGAATTTAATTTATTTGATTGTAGGTGTAAAATTTAAAATTGAAATTCATTTATTAGAAAACTACATAAAAGTACACAAAAACAAGAGGTGTTCTGATTATTTAATTTTATGAAATGAGTTAATAGAAATAAGCCAATGAATAAAATTTGGGTATGTGAATAGTGTGAGCAATGCATTCCCGAACACAGTGAGTAATATATAATGAAAATTAATTTTTTTATTCCAAGAAGACTCCTTTTTATAAATAATTAATTTTTTTTCAAATAACCCTTTTTAACAATTATCCAATTGGGAGTTTTATGGGACAGGGGAGGTTGATGAAAGCAAACAAAAATCTAACTATGAGATTGAGTAATATCTAAAACAAGTTCCTTACGTTCATATTTCTTTTCAAATTCACCAGAAAGATGCCTCTTCACGAAAGTGGTTTTTCCTGCCACAATTAGATGTTGTACAAGTTGAGCCACAACAAAAAGCCAAACAGGGAAAGAAAACAACAAAAAATCTCATCCACAAATTACACATACCAGTCCCTCCATCACCAACAATGACAAGCTTGAAGCTTGGGTAGTCCACAGTTTGCTGATTAGGGAGAGCCTACGAGAAAAAAATATAAAGCTCGTTTACTACAATCCACGGGTCACGGAGGACTTTATTCATACACAAGTGATGAACCCAGATAAGTTAAAACTACACTTCCTACCAACACAATTTGAAATGATCAGTTTCTCTTCAGATTTCCGAGAGAGATCGGATCAAAAAGTCACAAATACATTCGGTAATTTGCACCATACAAAGAGTATCTAGATCTTAGACATGTAAATCGGATCAAGCGTCGCAGAATACAGGAGATCAATTAAGCTGCAGCGAATGGGCAGAACCAATTGCAAATATTCATAAAGCGATGGGTAAAAGATCATAAATACGAACGATAACTAAAAGCAGATCGGAATATAAAAAACTGCACGCAGACGACCACTGTTCGGAACAGAGGAAAAGAAAAACAGGAACGAAATAGACAAAAGGAACACAATAAATCAATAGAAGGGGACGGAGTAGCCTTACCATGTTCGTCGATCGAGAAACCGGAGAGCAGATTGGATTTGGAGCGTCGATGGGAAGAAAGAGGAGGAACAGAGCGGCGGAAGGGAGGGTTTATAAGAGGGAGAGTGGCTTTAAATCCACGCGACTGTGTTTATGATGATCTTTCTAGTAAGTTTAAGCTAGGGTTGTACGCGGTTCATGTACTACTACTACAACCAGACCGACCCAATCTCAATTCAAAAAAATTGAAAAATTGGAATTGGGATCAGAAATCCTAGTGGGTGAGCACGGGCCAATCTGAGCCAAGATTTGTATAAACTGGATAGGACTCGGCTTGTTTTTATTAAAATGGTCCGGATCGGAATGAGTTTTCAAAATTTTAAAACTGAAACTGGACCTAACCCGGCTTGTTTGAAACGGACCAATTCCACGGGTCAACAGTCTCGAACCTATCTTTATACTAATATTAAAAAAATAAAGTGATAATAAATTAATAACACACACATGGTCATTCACCATTAGTCCACAACAATGTACTACTCTCATTGCCAATTTTTAGTCATCCAACACAAAAAAGAGGCCTAAATGAAGACAAAACAATGACAAAGAGGGGTAAGGGCGTAATTCGTAAGGGCGTTGTTCTCGGTGTAATAATAATAATACGAAATATTAAAAAGCAGTCCAGTCCGGATCCTGGACAATTTCAAAATAGAGAATCGGACCGACCCTAAAAGCTATAAAGACCGGACTCACCCGGCTCTTTATAAATATTTGAAAAGAGGACCCGCCTCTAACTTGGACCGAACTTGTCGGTTCGGTTCTGACTCCTGGTTCCTTGACCCGTTTGCCCACCCCTAAGAAATCCAATTTGCTAGGTATTGATCCGGACGCATTTTTTCCCAGTCTGGTCTGGATAAAAACTGAAACACCCGGAATTTATTTCTTTATTTTTTTAAATTTTTTAAACTTGTTTCTTGACAACGTACCTTGGTGAGTCCAAGAATGTGCTTCTCACTACGAAGATCAGTGTTGGATTATGTTATTGCAGTCCATCTGTATTATAAGCACCCTGGGTTGACTCCTGGTTTATTAACCGACACGAGGAGAAGGATCAACTAGTACAGACCTGACATGGCAGAGGCTTTGAGCTCAAGTGGCGAGTCTAAGAATGCATTTCACACTACGGTGACCAGAAGTCTATACGTTTTGTGATGGACACACATAACGAGTTCCATTTGTGCTTTTGTGGTTTTCATATTCCTGCCGAATGTTAAACAATGTACAACGAAGTTAATTTCTGTTGTGTTTCTTTAATTCATTTATATGATCATCTTTAGTTTATTGGATTCAAGGTTGCTCTTAGATACTCCCGTCAATTGTTAAACAATTTGATACAACACGACTCGTGTCGAATGTTAAATTTCATCACTTAATAATAAAACATTACAATAATTGATACAATAATTTAAAAAAAGTTTTAAAAGTTTACAAAGGGGAGAATTTATTTTGATCTTAATTCAACCCATTCATCATCACTCTTCATCACTCATATCAGTGGAAGCTCCATCATCAAGGTCGCTCATTGATAATCCTAGGATTTTTACCAAAGCTTCCACCCTCTCTTCCAAATTCTGCATGATTTCCATCCAATTTTGAGACCCGTTTTGGAGTTCTTTTTCTTCGGTCTCCGGTACCCCGAGCTTTTCTCCAGATCCTTCACTATCTCATTCCATAACTGAATTTTTTTCTCAATATTTTTGGGGACATCATTTGCGGGGCATTGTTTTCCATATCGAAAATTGTTTGAGATGCGGGTGTATTTTGGTTTTAATGTTTCCGAATATATAAGCATAAGAAACGCTTCACTCTCAGCCAGCATTAACATCCCGTGAACTTGGTCAAAGTTTGGGAAATGTGCGAATTTGAAGTTAATGCTGCATGTGAATAAGGAAAGAAATAGTAAACATATAACTTATTAAATTATTATTATTATTATTATTATTGTTGTTGTTGTTGTTGTTGTTGTTGTTATTATTATTAAAGTTAAATATGCTTTTAGTCACTGTAAAATATTTGATCACTGTAAAATATTTTTTTTCAAAACACCCTTAAAATATTTTTAATTTTGATAATGGTCCTTGAACATAATTAAAAGGTTAATGCTGCATGTAATTTTTTAAATATGTCGACCTATTATAATGTCAACATATGTGGTCAACCTATTATTAAGCAACGTTTTCGGCGTCGTTTTATATTATAATGTCGATATTTTTTATATAGGCGGAAGAAACGTTGATCTTTCAGTCAACGTTTTGGGAATTGTGCAGATTTGTAGTTAATGCTTGTGAATTATTAATTATGTCGACCTATTATATGTCGACCTATTATAATGTCGACATATTATTAAATGTCGACATATTAATAAGCATTGTTTCCATACTTGACGGCGTCGTTTTATATTTGGTATCGGTTAGTATTTTTTTAAACAAATACTAATTTTATATTTGGTATCCGTTAGTATTTTTTAAATTACAAAACGAGTAAAATACTTAATTAGGAAACGATGCGTCGATTCAAACTTTTCTCAATTTTCTGGCGTATTGGGAAGTGTGCCAATTAAAAAATTGAATTACACAAGGAGTAAAAATAGTAATTAGGAAACGACGCCTAAGTTTATCCGTCGACGCCATCGTTTCATTTATGGGCTCGATACTATAAATTTGAGAATCACCTGCTAGGGTTTCATCCGTAACAAGGTTTATTCTCATCCATTTGTAAAGATCTGCAGAAGGACGAGTTTTTGTGTTATCCTCTCCAAAGATCTCGGTTTCAGGTAAAGATTGGTTTGTGATTCCATTCATTTTCTTGTGTTTCTTTTACTTGCTTTTAAATTATGTTATGTCTAATTCACTCAATCTTTTAATGATTCAGAGGATCCCACATTACGTTAATATGATTGTCGATGGTCCAGAGTACGCTGATGGCGATGTCATCAGGATTTTTTCCGTACTTTCCTCACACCCTTTTGAAGTGAAAATTCATGTATGTGAGCAAGGAAACCTCTTTTTTCGGGAGGGCTGGGCTATAATAGTTGAGGCCCATAATGTGGAGGAGATTCATTTTCTTTATTTTCATTATATAACGGACTTTGATTATACTATCAAAGTTTTTGGTGAAAATGGACGTGCGGTGGAATATTAATATTGCCACCGAATAATAATATGTACTCCGTAATATTTTTATTTTAATGAACTATTTCCGTTGTTCTTTCAGGCTCTCAATTAGGTAAAAGACTCATAATGGATTTCTCAATTAGGTAAACAGCTCATAATGGATTTCTCAGGATCCGTTGTGCACCTTTTTCTAGCAATGAAGTTAACAGTTAGATCTTCTATCAGGGAGTATCAAAAGATCATAAAGAATGGATTAGCAGACCCTGAAGCGTTGGCATTTTTTTAGAGAAAGTCACCCAGAAGGCTTGTAAAGTGTTGAAGCTACTCAATTGAAGAACAGAGAGAATAAAGAAGAAGAAGAAGGATCTTTTCATTCATTCATCTTGCGCAGTAAACAAAAGTATAACAACCAAGTCTTATATACTGGCGAGGCAATCAACAAACTAACTAACAGAAAATTAACTAAAAGCCTTTAAAAGTGGAGCAAACAGTTAGGACAGCTGGCGGTTGAAGATTGGGACAGCTGGCAATTGAAGCTTGACTCTTCACACCCCCCCCCCCCTCAAGCTGGGTGGTGGAGAAACCATCCCCAGCTTGGACAAAAGCTTGTGGAACTGATCAGCAGGAATGATCTTGGTAAGGACATCTGCCAGTTGATTGGTTGTAGGAAGATATGAGAGATTAATAAGACCTTCAATGACTTTCTCTCTTGTAAAATGGCAATCAATGTCGATGTGCTTTGTCCTCTCATGGAAAACTGGATTCCTAGCAATATGCAAAGCTAATTGGTTGTCACAATGAAGAGTAACTGGCTTCAAATTTGAGACGTGAAGTTCTTCCAGCAAACACACCAACCATGTGATTTCTGAAGCTGCCTAGGACATGGCTCTGTATTCAGCTTCCAACGAGGACCTGGAAATAGTGCTTTGTTTCTTGGATTTCCAAGAAATGGGGGAACCTCCAAGTAAAATGATGTAACCAGTGACTGAACGTCGTGAGAAAGGACATGAAGCCCAGTCAGAGAAAGCATGCAAGGAGAGTTGATCAGATCCTCTCATTAGAATCCCTTGATCTTTTGTACCAAGGAGATAATGTAGTAAATGAAGAGCACCTTTCATGTGGGAATCCTCAGGAGTTTGCATAAACTGACTTAAGAGTTGAACAGAGTAGGAGATATCAGGACGTGTGTGTGTTAGAAAATTGAGCTTCCCTATCAAGCTTCTATATGCATGTGGATCAGCACATGGAGCAGAAGTACCATGTTGAAATTTAGCATTTAGAGGAAGGGGAGTTTTTAGAGACTTGTCATGTAAGCACTGATATTCAGCAAGGAGGTCCTGTGTGAACTTCTTTTGGGAGAGAACAATGCCTGCTGAGGTGTAGGTTAGCTCAAAGCCTAGGAAATAATGAGCAAGACCAAGATCCTTAATTGTGAAACTGTCATCAAGAAATTTTTTGATAGAGGCAATGGCAATGGGATCAGACCCAGTAAGAAGTATATCGTCAACATAAACAGCAGCAAGAGTGATATGATCACTAGTGTACTTGATGAATAACCTGGGATCAGATTTAGATTGAACATATCCTTGAGAATAGAAAGCAGTAGATAGTTTGCTGAACCACTGTCTACTAGCTTGGCGAAGACCATAAAGAGATTTCTTCAGGCAACATACCTTGCCAGAAGGATTGGGAAAACCCAAAGGGACCTTCATATATACTTCATCCTTTAGGTCGCCATGCAGGAATGCATTGTTTATGTCAAGTTGAGAGAGTTCCCAATGTCTAGAAGCTGCCAAAGCAACAATGCATCTAATGGTAGACATATTTACAACTGGAGAGAAAGTTTCAGTGAAGTCAATTCCATAGCATTAATGGTTTCCTTGAATAACAAGTCTTGCTTTGAATCTTTCCAAACTACCATCAGCTTTGAGCTTTACCTTATAAACCCACTTGCTGGAGATGGCT